CTTTTTTCGGAAGTTTTAATTTACTATGTTGAGTTCTAGCCGAGAATGGAAAGAATAAGTTTGGCGTGGAATGAGAACAAGCATACAACAGGCATATTATTATGTTGATTACGTACATACGTACATACGTAAGAATGTAGTGGCTACAAATTCCTTTTTCGACATTGCAACAATAAATTTGATGCATTTGATATAATGAGAGAATAATGAGACGGCGCTTTGTGATTCATAATGCAACACAACAAATCTATATTTAGGATGACTAGTGGCACAAGGGAATTTGGTAAAATTGTTAAAAATAATATAAATCTTGGTTGGTGGAGTGAAATTGAAATTCCACGCAATTTCACACCGACGTTCGTCTTCAAGGTTGCACGGATATCAGTTTGAAAGAGACAATTCGGAAATCTGTAAAAAGTGAGTCGTCGAGAAAGAGAATTTGGTTTTTATTTTGAGGCATTGTCGTCCTCCTCGCTAACATGCTTCGATGTTTATGTGAATCGCTTTCTCATTAGAAACCTCTTACGTACCTCAAATTTCACCATGATGACCATGACTCAGTATCATAATGTTAAGACAAGTCTTCAGATACCTTCTTCTATAGCGGCCACACCACTGCTTGACATGAAATCAACGTCCCAAGTGCCTCCGGTGACGGCCACACATACCGTGCCTCCTCCCTTGACTATTGATTGTTTAGAAGAGATTCTGAATCATCTTTTGGACAGTCGGGAATCTCTTCACTCATGTATCTTGGTTAATCGAATTTGGAGTCAGCTAGCTATGCCGTTGTTGTGGTACAATCCATTTGGCAGTAGGCTACGAGGACAACAGGCGATAAATATTTTCGATTCCTACATTTCCTGTTTGCCTGAGGAGCTAAAGGACCAAATGCTCACACGAGGTGTTTACTTCTCGGACCTATCGAAACCTCTGTTTGATTATCCAAAGTATCTACGCGGATTCGATTGGTTTAATTTTCAAATGGCGGTGAGGGAATGGGTGGAAACTTTTTATTACCATCGAGGATATGACTTTAGTAATAAGATCATATTTCTTGAAAAATTCATGGCTTCCTTTCTTCTGGGACGGTGTAACGGGTTGAGAATTCTGAGATTAGAGAGTAATTCATCGACGAGCGTTAGCATGCTCGATTTGTTGAACACTTTCAATTTTCGGTTCCTTTTTTCCAAAATAGAAAAATTTGAAGTTCAATATAACACCTTCAGCAATGATTGGGGCCCGAAAGCGGAGAGCATCTCGCTTTTTTCGACTAAATTAGCTGCGTGCTCCCGGAACATTCAACACATCAAGCTATCCATAGAAACCTGTCGACCAAATTACCTTCCATTATATATTTGCGAGGCGTTTTGGTATTTAATCGAGAAACAAAAGAATCTCAAAATTCTTGACATCAGTGAATTTTGGAATCCCGAGAAATCCGATTTATTTTACTCGTCCCTCATAAAACAATCTCATTCCTTAACTTTCCTTAGTTTAAGGCACATTTCAAAATTAACTCTTTTGCTCCAATTTCTAACGAGCTGCAAGAACTTGGAAACCTTGGAATTATGGACAATTCCTGTTGCTGACATGGAGGCACTCATGTGCTTATCGAGTTCGTCAACACATCTATCCATAAAAAAACTTAGATGCTATGACGTAGACAGAGATCCGGAGCTCACTTTGGGTATAATCATCTTGATGACGAATTGGAACCTGAAGGAGTTACATCTCTTAAAAGTAACACCCAAACTTTTGGAGGTGATCAGTCAATACTGCCCAAATCTCACTTGTCTACACTTGAACCTCAACAAGTCTCTTCTGATGAAGCTCCTGAAATATATCTCGACATTGTCACTCGATACCCTGGGACTAATCAATCAAGATAAAACGCCATTCTCGATTGAATCACTGCAAGAGATAGCACGAGCGATACCTCCCACCACAAGAAACTTGGAAATCAACTTTTTTATGACCTCGCAAGGATTACAATATTTCCTCTGGAAATTTCGCGGAACATTGAGGAAGTTGGTGATAAGTAATGACAATCTGAACGATCAGTATCTGGCGGTGATCACGTATTATGCTAAAAGCAAGAATCTACAGGAGTTCTGGTTTCCACGTCCTGAAATGTTCTCATCGGAGGCTCTGGAGAACGCGAAGTTTTTCATCCCGATTGTTCAGAGCATGAAACCGCGGACGTGGGAATAACCTTTTTCTTTTCATGCGCCTGGAGCTGCAGCAGAAATTTGTGTGCGGGATGCTTGCTTAAAAAAAAAAAAAAAAATCTCAATAGACAACACGTTGGTTTTTTTTTAATTTTTTAATTTTTCTTTTTATATTTGATGCCAAAAAAAAAAATTAATATTTTAGGTGTACAGTTTTTAATTGCGGTTTAAAAATTTATATTGCTTTCATTATTTTTCACCATGTAAAAATTTTTTTAAATTCACAAACTTAATAATTTCATTAAAAACCTAATTATACGAATGCGTAAAATCTATCGTAGACTCGTAGATAATCCCAGGACGTACGTTACGAATTATATATAATACAAATGCGCATTCATCAATTTAAAAATTCGTTTTTCAACGACAGAATCTGATAATAATAAAAGGTTGGATACCCTTTATGCTTTAAAATTAATTATCGAAAACAAAATTTCAAAATTTTAAATTTTAACATCATTAAAAAATTTTTTTTTTTTTTTTTTTTTACTGTATAATTTTTAACAAGCCACAATACGCAATACTTTTCGCTTTGGGTTAGAAAATTTTTTGAATTAGTATTTTGCGATAATTTGATTTGTTGAATGCTCTGCATCTTTAAGTTCTATGTGTGATAAATCGAATTATATCCTTTTTTTTTAAAAAAATTTAATTTTTAACACGACCGATTGTAAAAAGTTTCTTGGTCAAATTTTTCAAAACCAGCTTATTTATACAGTATACAGTGTCCGAAATAACTTTTTTAAAGTACGTAAATAATTTTTTTTTTTAAAAAAAATAAATAAAAATAAAAATTTTAGCTCAATTGATAAACATAATATTGATCATATCAAACTACGTTGATATCAATAATAACTTAAATATTATCTATCAATTTAATAATTTATTTATACCAAAATTTCGTCATGATCTGAGTAAAACCGTGTGATTGCGTCTGAGATTGAACCCAAAATCTATAGCAACGAAATCCTTAGTTATTATCTTTAGTAAAATGATTTCCGTGCAATTAAGCAAGTAAATTAGTGAGTAATACAGTATATACTGCAATTTTATATTGAATATTAAACACCTTTACGGAATTCAAAATGTTAATTGATATGAAAATCAAGCGATCTAAAACCCAGGGTACCCAATAAATTCAGTAATTGACGCCGCGGAATATTATGAACAGGAATTTGACACACCATTGCATTGTCCAGCACAGATGTTAATCATTTCAGCGTATTTTAATTTTACGATCCATTGTTCTCCATTACTGAGGATAGGGGACTTACGCTTAACTGCTTGTACAGGCCTCAAGATCGTTTCCGAATTTTTCTAGGGCGTTACGAAACTTGGGTATCTGAAGGTATCATGTACATCACCCGGCACAATAATATAAAAAAATTTTTGCATTCAGATTCTTCCTATATTATAGCATATTTGAACCATGTTGACCAATTCGCATTGTTTCGCGGAATTTTTTGGAGACGCTGTAATTTGAAAGATATCGTTGGGCGTAAAAATTAAATCTACTGCACTGAAATTTCCTATGGTTGGTTTGATAATTATGCCTTCCTCATTATATCCAGTAAGTTGGTTCGCATTTCTAATAACGAAAAAGTCCTTAGTTTTTTTTCTTAATTATTATCGAAAATAATTATGCAGGTTTTACCTTGTTTTCTCTGAGTTTCCTCGATTCAAACTCTTGATCACTGAGTTTAAAGAACGTGTGACTCAAACATAATTACCTAGAACTGGAATGATGATCAGGATCTTAAGTTGTACAGTCCACCAAGTGCCATGTTTAGGATTGTAAAGTTTCTCCAAAAATTCGTTAAATTAAAAATAACTGTAGCATTGGTTTTATTGCACAAGATAAATAAACTAGGTAACACGATTTGACGTGCCAGATAATTATATGATATGGATCCCTGTAAGATTCCAGTACATATGACATATGTTCCTTAATTATTGCAAGCGGTTTTCTACCAGGATGCCGGATTGGATTCATATCAGTTGAAATCTTCCTGCTCGATTTCCTGTTCCTCCGACGTTTTTTCCCGGAAAATTTCCGGGAGTTTTTTCCCGAGGTTAAGGATCACTTCCAATATTTTATTAAATAATGGATCTGAAAGAAGAAATTAAAAAATTTGGATTATTAATTCGCAAAAAAATTTTTGATGGCTCATTCTAACTCCTGTGGTAAAAATTTTTACTTGCTAGTTTTTGTCTAGTTTACCTGGATAAACAAGCAATAATAATGAGGAATAGCAATGAGAAAATAAGTTTTAAAGGCGAGAATGAGACAACGGCTATAGAAAATCAAGAAAGGTGCATTCATTCCATCGACTAAATTCGTTGCGAATATCCAGAAAACAAAAAATTGGGTTACTCACCAGCGATGGGAATTCAGAAAAAAACTCGAATTTTCTTTTCTCCAACTTTTTGAAATATATTTCCAATCGTTTCAGCTTCATCCCTTAATTCTTCGTTTAAATATGTAGCAATATCAGTGTCTTCATATACAAGTACACTCGAAGCAACGTTGACTTTCCATAGTGTGTGTTGGATGGCCTTTGCGTTCTCAGCATTAGAGAGCTCCGATTATACTATATATTTATATATTTTAAAGTCACATGATAATTGTCGATCAGTCTTTAATTATAAAATAAAATTGATTCCAAAGTTTTATTGTAAATATCCATTAAGCATAATCCCACCAGTCAGTGTAATCTGAGGTTATCGCTATAGGATGGATGTTTTTAAGACTCGACTTCCAGTTGATTTCTTTTCTGATTTGTGAAGTTATTGTTTGGTTTCATTTTAGGTTGATTCAATTAAAGGTGTACATAGCCTGTCGGACTAATTTAATTATTTTATGAATCAGTTTTGATATCTTTATGCTTTTATTAAAATGAAACCTTAGTAGTTTTTGGTTGAAGGTGTATCTTGTGAGTATTGAAGGTTGTTTTGTCATATAATTTTTGAGTACTTTTTGTGCTAGTGTGTGTGCTTAACTATGCTTTAGATCTTTATTCTTGCTAGATATCTTCTACCATGTGATGTGACGATGAAGCTGTTCTGTGATTTCCTTTATGTTAGATATGAGTCATACTTCTTCTATTTTGTGTATTTGTTCCTCTTGCATAAGTTTCTCTGTGTTCTGGATCAATAGTTGGGAGTCTGAGAAGATAGTTATTTGTTTGTTATGTCCTGCGACTGCTATTGCAATGGTTGCAGCTATAATCTCAGCTCTCAGTGCTGATGCTTGACCTTTAACTTTGAGGTTTAGGCTGTGTGTTGTTCCATTTTCACAGGTAAAGATTATCTCAGTTCCCATTACTTGCTGGTTTGTTGATTTATTGAAAGCTCCATCTGTATGAATTAGAAGGGATGTTTTGTCTTTAAGTATTTTAGTGGTTTCATTGCATTTTCTGGTCATTATGTTATCTATTAGGAGTAGTAGTTTCAGAAGATTGATGTTTGTTTGCCAGTTGGGGATTTTCACTGCTTCTATTTTTTCATTTGGCATGTTCTACCATCTTTCAATACTGCCCGGTGATATTTGTGAGTGCCACACCTGCTGGCCAGTTGTGGGGTTGTTGGGTGGTTGAAAATAGATGTCTTGATCACTAGAGTAGTGACTATAGTGTGTCTTGGGATTTCGATGCAGCAGTTGTCCCCTCTTTTGTCTTTTGTGATTGTTAGGTTATAGCCTTTACATGGTTCTATCGATGAGAAGTTGGTTTGATTGTAATGTCTAATCTTTATTTTATGGTGTGATTTACTTACTATCTTTCCCATTATTAGTTGATTATTTATTTAAGAAGTGTATCAATTAAGGCTGTTATAATTATTATGGGCCATCTGGATTTGAGCATTTGGATTAAGTTTTAGTGTGTTCTTTCCTTGTTATAATGCATTATCAACTATAGTTCTGAGTTCCTTGTACCAGTTTGATTCTTTTCTCTTGTTCGTCTTGTTGCTAATTAATCCTATTTGATACCAGTTGATTGTTTTTATTTGGAAGGTGTCCAGGATCTGGTTGATGTATGATATCCTATATGTTCTGAGGTGAAATCAGTGTTTGTTTATCCATTCAGAATCCATAATGAGTTCAATATGTGTTCCTTGGGACTTGATAGTTATGTCTTCAGAGCATGTAATATGGATGTTGAGTTCTTGGATCATTTTGAGACCATCCTGTAGATAGTTGTATGTTGATTTATGGATTTCTGGGCAGTTTTCTAGGATACTTTTGTCCTGCCATGCCATTCATTGAAGTTGATTGATTCTAAAACTTGTGACTCTTCCTGCTGTATTGTTATTATAATATAGTTCCTATAAGTTTACTACAAATTTCTGACATAATCTTGAGTACATTTCCATGATATTGTACATTGTGAGTGAGTATATTATTGAGGTAGGACATGTTGCTGCCAGCTTAACTCTTCGTCAAAAGTTTTGTCTAATTAGAGTATCTATCTTGGTGACTTCTGCTTTGCTTAATATCATGTCTTGTGTCAAATATTCAATTTGTGGGAAAAGAACACTGTTTATGATGTATCAGTGCATCTTGTCTGTCATTTCCTTCTATTTGATTGTGTTGCATATTGTTTTGACTTTTTGTTTGATTAGTTGTCATTGGTATTTTTTCCCTGCTTTTGCTTAATGCCATGTCCCTAGGACTCTGACTACTGCCATGTTAATGCTGGGTTGTATCAGTTGATCTTGAAAAAGTAGTGATTCTTTTGGTCCATTAAGAATTAGGAGGTCAATTTGGTTGGGTTCACAGTGATGTTATTGAGGTGATAAAAGAAACTGCTGGCAATAGTAATTAGCTTCAGGTCCTCTCAACTTTGTGTTATGAAGGTTGTGTCATCTATATAGGCTGCGATAGAGATGTTAATATTTCCTTTCTTATTTTCCTGATTAGTCAGTTGATATTCTTTCATTTTGCTTATATAACTGATGAGAGGATCGTAGTATATTTTCCACAGT